CTTGGGTTGTTACCGACATCTGGTGAAAATGTCATGTCATTAGCGCCTCTAGTAATATATTTACTGAGAAAAATGGTGACGTGCTTATTTTACCCACTGTATATTGTCACCTGGTGGATAAGTGACAACAAAATGTGTGACAGCTTTCACCCTCATCTGTTAACATTAACATTGATCAATAACCTTTACAGACCTCAGTGCTTCTAAATTTAGCCTATAAATTTAGCAAGTGCTAATCCACTAATAAATTTTAAAATTAGCAACAGCCCTAAAGCACTAATCAGGAAATTAGTTCCCCTATTAGTGCTTTAGGGAACTGTGCCYACCACTGCTGAAACTTCTTATTTTTGATTTAACTGAAACTTTGCAACTCCTCAGCTGCAAATTGTTGCTGGAACTTGAACGTTTCCAGCAAGCTGACTGATTTTWAATGAAAAAGGTTCATCTCACTGGCTATGGCTTCATATAATCTAATGCCAAAGGGCGAATTCTTTAACTGCAGGTCAAATGTGTTTTCTGCAGTGGAAAGTTTGATAATAATAATTAAAAAAGGGAGGAGATAAGGTCAGAGAAATRTGCAGCATGGGCAGAAATTGAACAAAATAGAGGACATGTTTGAAAGAAAAACAGTCTATGATTGATACTGAGCCTCAGTTTGTTRAGTCTGGTTTCCAGGACATCTGTGAGCAACTTCCTTTTTCATTTGATTCCCTCTGGCTCAGATTTTCACTTTTGAAGCGGGGGGAAAATCTGTTTTTTTTCTTTTAAATCAATACATCCAAGCCTCCATCACACCATTTTTATATTAGCAAATTWAATTTCCAGATCCTGGTATCAGCCTCACAGTGGTCCTGTTTGTGTAAATAACAGGATAACARTAATTAGGAAGGAAGTGCAGAACCAGAGCTGCAGTGATCTCCATAGAAACAGGCTGAATGATTTGTTGGAGACAGACCAATGTATTGACACTAACTGTTGCTTTGGTTTCATGTGCTAAGAGTTAAAAGGATTATCTTTGGTTTTATTAAATAAGGAGCTAATAAGGTCAAATTAGATTCTAGCAATGCTGTTCTTACGTGAAAGAGACCAACTTTGGTTTTACTGGATTAAAATCMCAATATTATTCACAAACATTAAAGCTTTCAGAGATGTGATATTTTGCTAACAATGCAACCTTTCTTTCAGGGAAAAAAAAATCCTCCATCAGGTTTGATGCACGTTGCCATGCCAACGAAAGCTCAGCATCATCTCCATCCTCGGCGTGAAGGCAGAGAGGGATCACACGCTGCGTGTCGCCTTCACCGAGAACTCGCCTACATTCTGCCTGAGCTCACCCCTCACTTTCCTTCCATTCATCTCACTGCAGCTTTTTTTAAGGTCATAATGAGCTCCACTCCTCAGCGCCCACTGGCCACCTGCTGCAGCAGTGCATGCTGGGATCCATCAGCCAGACTGACACATTTGTGCAAACTGGAGGTGGAGAAGAAGTGGCCTTAAAACGTGACTGCACAAAAAAAAGGAAATCAGGATTTTGGTCATTGGGAGATAAATCCTAAGCTGTCTCTACAACTCTGTGCCCCCCATTCCTTCCCCTCACTCTGCTGTGACCCTCGCTGCAGCAGGATGTGGCTAATGAGAACTATAAATATCCTGGAGCAGACTTGCAGGACTTTGCACAGACAGAACCACATGCATGAGTGTGCACTCATAGTCGCACATCTCCTCCTACAGGAAAAAGAAAAAAAAAAAAGGTTTAATTGTGAACAAAGCTCCTCAGCAGTCAGAAGCAGACCCCCTCCCCCCMTCGCACTCGCAGACACCTTTCAGCCCACTTGCTTTTATTCTCCAAGCTGCCCTTCAGCTGCCAGTGCCAGTGTTGTGTGTGGGAGTCAGAAACATCACATTATCTAAGGGGGGCATTCAGAGAGAAGGAAAACAGCTTTGTGGGTGGAGAGGACTGTTCAGATACGGTGCATTTAATACTAGAAAGAGTCCCTTTAACATAAAAGGTTTGTAAAGTGGTCGATAAGCTGCCTGTTTTTTTTCTCTCATCTCTGAAGCCTATTACTTTAAGAGTGCTGACTCGGCACTGTGTTCAGCACAGCTGCCATGTTTTCCTCACCGTGAATCATCTGAAACACTGAAATGTGATGAATTGAGTCCAACATTAGAGTCAAATTTCATCTGTTTTTTGTTTTTCAAACAGCTGTTTGACCTACTTTGGTGAAGCGTTGACAAAAGCTGGATACATGAAATCCTTAGTTTATCTTCCCAAAACTAAACAGGAAATGTGGGTTTTGGCTGCTGAAGCTGAGGTTAAACAGAGCTGAGGTTAAACAGCTGCAGGCAGTCAGGGAAATCTACTAATCTAAGTTTTTACTATTATTGGCTTTTGTATTTTACAGATTATTATTGCTTTGTGTTTATACTTTTTTTTAACAACGGCAACTTTAGCATCTGTTATGGCAATATTTATTTAACAAAGACAGAAATACGTGGTCCAAGAATGAAGGTACTCCGTGAGATAATCAGCTGAGTTTTATTGCAACAACAGGAAACACAGAGAACCTGGCCTGTCTCTGTGCCTCTGCTTCTCTCTCTGTCACTGTCTCTCCACACTACTCACTGTTGAACACTGTTGAGAGGCCTCATATATATATTAGCAAACACCATAATGTCATCTTAGCAAGATTTAATACAAGGTCAATGGAAAACCCAAAGATAAACACAAGTGATATCTAAGAATGACTGTTGTTAGCAGATCTCGTTCTGACTTTAATCATTCTAGCTGCAGATGAACAGCATGTCATGAAAACCTAGGTCATTAAAGGATGTCATGAATTACTTGCTTAAACATAAAAGTATTAGTTCTATTACAGCATGTTTTGTTCCTCATGTGCTCATTTGGAATAAAAAAAAAAAAACTCCATGAATCCTTCCTGCTAACTGGATCAGCTTTATCTCTTCTGCAGATAAGAGCCACTCACAGCTAAATCAGTAAAACAGTAACTGTTTTTTTTTTTTTATCTCTAACCAGAGCTTCTTTGAATGAATCGTTCATGGTGGAGGGAATCTTTGGCCACCCTCGATTTAAATAATGTATCAGGAGGGTCAACTCCTTTTAGTTTTATTTGGTTTTTATTTTTATAGTGGTTTTCCCAGCTTAAAGAAATAAAAAAATAAGAAAACCAGGCCTTTAAAAATAAAGCAAAAAACTGAAGGACACATAGTGATTCAAACATCAAGAGAATAAAATGCACACTAATAATGATAATTAAAAAACAGTGTCCCGTGTGTAAATTTGACCTCGTCTGGTTGAAAAGTGAATTTGCCCAACAAGTATCGAAGCTCATATTTACATATTTATCTCTGGCTCAGCATCTCTGGTTCAGAATGACCCATTTTGAATACAAAGCAAAGACACAAGGATTGATAAGGTTGTTCCTGCTTTGCAGCTGACCTTGTCACCATGATCTGCCATGAGACAGAGCACAGACAAACTGTGAATGTGTATTTTAAAAGATACRCATGAACATTTTGTGAAATCTTACTGCCTCAGCCTCTCTGAGCCTGAATCTGAAACCTAATCTGAAAGTTTCTGGGAACAAATCTCTTAAAGCAACATGGAAATTGAGAGGATGGTCCTGGTTTGTCCTTCGAAAAGTGCTGTGCTTTGAACAGATAAGCATGTAAGGAAACGGGTTGGTGATTAGTGACTGGCCCGTATATACAGTATACCTCATTATTTAAAACTGTTATTTTTCTACTTATTATTCAGAGTAACACTAACACACCGTCTCAACACTTCTCATCAGTGCTGCTGTCAGCAAACAGTGATCAGGAACTACTTCTGACATGTTTGCAGGTTGGGTTTTTAGTACGAYGAAACATTTTATAGTACCCATTAGCACCACATTAAAATTATTCTAATGCCTTGATCATACCCTTCCTACACAGGAGGTGTCAGTATTGATAAAATACCACAAAACAAAACATTAAAAAAGGAAATAAAATTTAACTGTACCACATTCTTTTAACAGGAACTAGTTCAAGAGCATCCATATCTCCTTGGTGCTAGCTTGATGAGGCAGTTTCACATACCCCAAAGCTTGTCATGTGTTAACTTGGACTTTAAGATTTATTTATTTATTTAGTTAGTTAGTCAGTTTTGACAGAAACTCAAACGGAAAGTAAAATGTAAATCCGAAGGGACTTTGTTTTTCAGGTCCCATCTCGTTGTTGTGATGTGCTTCCTTTTAATTGTGCTGCTTTTAGTTTTAATATGAACCAGGGAGGATGTAGAGTGGGGAGGGTGATTACTGAGTGAGAACAGGTGTGATGATTACTAAWAGGAAACAGGTGATCATGATGGCAAACAGTGCTAAATGAGATGATCTGGTTGAACATTAGAAAAAGCTACTTGAACAGAATATATTCAGTTCCCAGACCTGACCAAGCACCTTTCACTCATGTCTGTTTCGATACATTTGTAAAAATCATCCTCCATAGAGGATCTGACACATTATTTTCAGCGTAGACAGCTCTATTCATGTCTCCATGGTTTGCCGTTTGTTCAGATCAGTGAATTTCCAAAGTGTCTCAAGTTGTACCGCAGCCTGTAAATCTCACCCCATTCTGCTCTATTTAAACGTGTCACATGGGCAATCTCCAAATTACCCTCCGTCGATTGGAAAGCATCCCAGAAACCCACCCCCACCCGTCCCCTCTTTTGCTGTCTTGGCGATGTGCTACATTATGAATTGGATGTAGGGGGGAAAAGTGGCATCAGAGACAAAACTGGAACATAAATGTAGACAAATAGTTCCTATTTTTCTGTTTTTGCTTATTTTTATTTAAGTACTTCCTATTTGTGTTTCCCTCTGCTTACCTCAAGACAAACTATACTAAGCTCAGTCTGTTTTTATTTGTGGTGGTGAATGTGTGGAGGAGTAGAAAAGACGACACAGAAACTTGATGCAGAACCTTGCTTTACTCACTCCAACTCACTCTGCCAGGTTAGCGCCAAAAACAATACACTTATTCACAAACATTCTTACATCACCACATCCTGTCTTAGTGGCTGTGAGTGGAGCCCACTAGTGGTTCACCACACACGCCGCCCTCGAACACCCAGTTAGGTCCATTACTAGTCCAGAACTTTAGGCTTGAGCAAACGACCCAAAATGCTGAACCTGGACTCTGAAGAACCAGTCCGATGAAGTTGAGGGCAACGAGGAGGGGCTGCAGAAGAGTTGCGCTCCGTTGGTTGTCAAGAGTCTCTGGAAGGAGGACAGCGGTCCGTTAGCAACGTGGAGGGAGGTCTGCCCCTGCAAGGAGCCTGGGCTGTAACCACCTGATCATCTGCCAGAACATGAGTGGGTTTAAGTCTATCTCATTACGACCTCCTAAATCTAAAAGGAAGTGTTTGAGACCTGGCTGGAGAACCCTAAACAGGCCATCATACAAGGGCTGTAGTGCTGTTCTGTGGGCATTGTGTCTGACAAAAACAAATTCAGAGGGCTCTRGGCTCTTAGGGACAAATGACTGTGGTAACAAATGATGTACCGGGCCAGGGACACGAGAAGAGTCCCCCTGAGGCGAAAAATGTTGCAACGGTGAAGCGAACTGTGGTGAGGGTACCTCAGGTAAAAACTCACCGGGGATGCTGCACAGGCTGACCAAAAATCAGCTCAGCTGGGGAAGTGCCAAGGTCCTCTTTGGTTGCAGTGTGTAACCCCAACAAGACTCACGGAAGACGGTTAATCCAGTTGTCACCGGTTAATGCAGCACAAAGTGCAGCTTTCAATAACCTGTGAAACCATTCACACAACCCATAAGCTTGGGGGTTGTAAGCGGTGGTTCCATCTATCTAAGTCCCCAGACCCTTGGCCATGGTAGACCAAAGCTCTGAAACAAACTGAGGACCTCTGTTAGATGTAATGTCAGAAGGGGGGCCGAAACGCGCAACCCATGTAGACATAAATGCCCGGGCCACAACTGCAGATGTTGTGGATGCCAGAGGAACCAGCTTTGGGCACCGGGTGGTATGGTCAATCATAGTCAGCAGATGTGTAAAACCCTGTGATGGAGGTAGAGGACCCACCAGGTCTATATGCACATGATCAAACCGCTGACTAGGAATGGAGAAAGCTTCCAAAGGTGCTTCGGTGTGCCTGTTGACCTTAGCACGCTGGCATGGGACACACGCTGCTGCCCACTCCTTACGCAGACCAGGCCAAACAAACTTTGAACTGACCAGTTTCACAGAGGCTCTAAAGCCCGGATGAGAAAGGGAATGTAAGGAGTCAAAAACACTACACTTATCCACAAACATTCTTACATCAYCACATCCTGTCTTAGCGTGTGTGAGTGAACCACTAGTGGAGCCCACTAGTGGTTCACCACACATGCTCCATTTGCACAGCTTTTAAAATGTCTCAGTTGTTCTTGAAGATTTAAAGATATTWCTTTGAAAATCTACCTTTTATTCTTCTTAAGTTGCAGAAATTATTAGAAACGGTGGACTGCTAATGTAGCTTTTGTGTCTCCCTCATTATTCTGGCATTAAATAAACCCACTGTCCTGAACACTGATGGGAGTGACAACACAGAAACAACAGACGGAAAAACAAAGAAAACTCTGTTCACATGGCAGTTATTACTATGATTACATGCMAATTTTGTTATAAAACAGGATTTTTTTGTTTTATTTTTGTTGCACAGTGTTCATTTAGTACAAACACTTAAATTAACCATTAAAAAATAACATGTCAAGGGTAAAATTATTGTCATAACCAGTTTACTTTATGAAAAAATGCTAAAAGAACAGTATTAGGTACTTAAATGTCGTACTTTTTTATTTACCAATTTATGTCATCACATTTAAATGTCTCATCTGTCTCGTGCTACAACTTAAATCAGTCTCGCTCTTTCTAAAATAACTAAAGATGAGGAGCTATCTGTTGGAGTGGAGAGCATCAGAGCTGTTATAAGGGCAATGTTTAGCCTGTAACAGCCACTCAGGACTGTTCAGTCTTTCATTACTGACTTTAAGGAGGTGATCTGACCATCCAAAATAATATTTACAGTGGCTCAGCTGGGGCGTGAATCCCCAGTGGCTCTCAGTGGCTACGAATGTTTGTTTGTTTTTTCTTACACAGACAGACATCAGAAGAGCTTTGAAWCAGAAACAAGTAACTCATTCAGGTGAAATCTGATGGGTTGTGATAAAAAAGGCATTTTTACAAATTCATATAACTAAGACATTTTAACAGTTTCTCTTGGAGGAATGTCCAATGGCCAGAAGGTGAAATAAGAAAGACAAAAAGACAACCTGACCAGTTCTTTCAAAAATAAACCCAAAGAAAAAAATCAGCTCTCAGACCACAAAGAGCTATAAATGATGGCTGCCYCATTAATGTGGTATTAATTATTTTTTCCTATTTTGTGCCAAATCAATTTGATGGTGGCACCAGGGGCAGATAACCATGGTCTGTGGCATCCATCTTCCTGAGAGGACTAATCTCWGTACATTAGAGAGAGAGTCCTTTAATTATAACAATAATTTGTGAAGTGGGCCTGAAGCCAAAGGAGACATCAAGCGCTTATCAAAGTAATCACATTCATCCTCTGACGTTGTGGTCCATTACATCATGACTGTTTATGGACCTTGCATCATCCCGGTAAATAAAAACATTACTCAAAGTGGAAGTAATGTAGGACCTAACTAATATACAAGAATATGTGTAAAGTGTTAAACTTTTATTAAAAATCTCCTCATCTTTGGCTTTCAGGCCAGAAAAGCCATTTAAGGCCTGGATCACCGATCGGAGGCCTTGATCATAAATCTGGCACGTGACGCTGAAAGATTCTGGCCTGAGTCTCAGCTGTGCAGCTCCTCCTATATTATATCTTTTAAAAATTCATGGCCCATTAAAACACAGAGACGCGGACATGGCTGTGGCGAGCAGATATGGTTCGACAGAGGCAGTGTTTTATGTGCACAAAGCATATGGAGCGCCTTTTCAGCACACATTTCTGCACATTTAGAAAATAATTAATATGGTCTGCATCTGGTTGCTGTTTTATATTCTTTATTTAGCAGAACATATAKAAATAACACATGGTACAGCTCTGAAAAATAAAACTATTTTGAATGGAATCACACATTTATGTGGGTTCTCTTGACTGGATACCAGTGTTTATCTTGTCTTGTAGAAGTTTCCATTCTTTTGTCCTTATTAGTTGCTCACAGATACATTTARGTGTTGCATTCAGTCAGTTCAGTTTGTTTTAAAGAAAAGTTCTTGCTTTATTACAAGCCTAAGTGTGGGTTTTTCACAACGAATGACTCAAATAACAATAGGAAGTGAAAAAAAATCAGAGTGGTCAAAATAGCCTACTGGCTTTACTCCTTTTCAGAGGCAAATAAAAAAAACATTTAGGTTTCAAATAACCCTCAAATAGTTGCAATTAACTTTGACATTTCATGTTCTTTCTTTAGCATGGAGGGGTGTTGGAGGGAGACTTAATACAACAAAAAGTGGCTTTAATCACCATTTATTTGAAAAAATCTGTTTGTCAGGGATCCAGCCTGGTGTGATGAATGGATTGTGTGATTTGTGCTGCCAACTATCTGAACTGTACTAACAATAAAAAAGTGTTCTTAACCGCAACCTTAAACAAATATCAAGAGGTCACACACAATGAGATTAAAATTTGTTTTGTTGCAGACGTACCTGCAGTTTATTTGGATCTGAGTTCCTTGAAGTGGATTTTTTTTTTTCACTATTTTGAAAGGAAAATCTAAAACTAACAACAGCGGATCATTATTTACAATTTTTACTTCAGCTTCCACAAAAAAAAAAAAAAAAAAAAAGCTTTGCAGTTTGTTCTTATCATTTAACAGGCGTGTTTTGAATGAAAAAATAAAAATAAAAAACACAGAAGTAAAGTACATCCACGTTTATAAATCTTCATGCTTACAAACCATTTAAATAGTCACAGATCATTCATTCACAATACTGGTCAGTAAATGACAAAAAAGTGCAAATAAAAACAAGATTATGAAAAGTAGAATAAACTGAATTAAAACAAGTTTGAGCACTTATTGGAACAAAATTACCTAAATTAACATGCGGGTGTCTTTCGTGAGATCTATTCAACTCAATAAAATGCATATTTTTAAAAGAAACTGATATATTCATGACAGTTTTTTTAATGAGGTTTATTTAACGAGATACTGCTCACTCATAATAAAAATAAAAAACACATCTTGTAGTTTGCCTGAGTTGCCTTAGTCAGATATTCAGATTTTTTTGCAAACTTTGTCGCATTCCAATAAGGTGGAGATAGTCAACTTTATTTTTTTTTTTACAAACACCAACAATAAATAATGCTACATTCACTGTACGTCTGATCCCATAAACATCCAAATTCAAACACAACTGTGTCAATCCTTCCTCCAAATGATTTTTTTGAGCCTCTTATTGGGGTAAAGATGCATGTTCCCATGCAAGGGTGAAATTTGTGCTCTGCACCCGGGGAGCAGTTGGGCATTAGATGTTGTGCTCAAGGACACCAAAACATGTGGGCATGGTGGAGAGTCSAACCTGTGACTTTCTGGTCTCAAGTCAGCTGCTCTACCACTACACCTCCACTGCTCCATTTGTTCCAACAAAGTTTGACCACGACAGTTTATAACAGCCTGTGTGTTGGGGTTTTTATTCTGTGGGATTGGAAAAAAAAATTGATTCAAATTTGCTTGATGAATAAATGGAGGACAGCTGGTGGGATTCAGGCGAGAGTAAATGATAAGCTTACATTTAGAATGGACGTATATGCTTTCACTAAAACAAACCTACAGTATATGATAATATGATGATTATGTAGATGAAAGTAGTGAACTGTTTAACCAAACTACGAGAAAGCTTGTGTTTTATGATGGAAAAAGCAACAGCCTCATACGCTGACTAGAAGAAATTAAAGTTTTCCCCTCAAAAGACAAAACTTTACCAATCAAAAGGGCAGAGGGAATCTGGTTCGGTGGTCTCAGGATTCCATCTCTGTGATATGCTAATGATGTTCACGTGTTATCTACAGCAAGTTCTGATTCACAACGCTTTTGCATGTAAAAAACGCAGCAGCCCGCACATTACGGATTAGAATAAGGTGTAAATATACGTATGATTTTTGATCCACGCGCCTTGCCATACAGCACCTCCAAATTTGAGTCCATGGGCTATTCTTCCATAATGGTCCTCAGTTGGAAAAGAGTGGATTTCTCTCTGAGTTGGGGATGGGGTTCTGCCTCAAGGGAGGAGTTAAGTATCTCTGGGTTTTGTTCATAGTGAGGGAAGAATGGAGCAGGAGAYTGGCTGATGGATCAGTGCAGCTTCCACAGTTTYGTGGACTCTGTAACGGTCTGTTGTGGTGAAGAGRTCMTGATCTTTGGGTAGTGACCAAAGGAATGATACAGGCGGTCACAATGAGTTTTCTCCACAGGGTGGGCTCTCCCTTAGAGATAGGGTGAGAAGTTCAGTTATCTGCAAGAGACTCAGAGTAGAGCCRCTGCTCCTCCACATCAAGAGGAGCCAGTTGAGGTGGTTCGGGCTTCTTGTAAGGATATCTCAATGACGCCTCACTTGCGAGGTTCAGGCATGTCCGACTGGGAAAAGACCTCGAGGAAGACCCAGGACACGCTGGAAAGACTATGTGTCTTTTTGGTCTGGGAATGCCTTTGAATTCTCCAAGAGGAGCTGGAAGATGTGGCTGGGGAATGAGAGGTGTGGGCCTCCCTGCTCAAGCTGCAGCCCCCACTAGTCAAYTCGAAATAAGGGCAACGGAAATGAATGAAGTCATAATAGATGGATGAAATTTTATTTTTCGACCATCCCGCCCACTTCAAAATGGCACGCGAGTTTTAGTTTCATATTATCATGCTGTTTTTTTTTTTTCTTTTTACTTTAGTGACAAAAGAATCAAATCACAGTAGCCACATTATTGGGGAAACTCACAAAACATTAAATTCTCCTTCAATTTATGTTTAAAAAAGGCACTGGACCTTGTTCAATGTAACAGACTGGACATAAAGCACTAACCTATATGAACATGTTTCGTACCTTAACTGGGGCGCATTTCCTCTATTTCCAAAGTACCAAAAGTAGCATGGCACAGTATTTTTTTCCTCACACTTTTAAGTAACATTTTTAAGAACAAAATTCTTTAAATAAATCACATTGTTCTCAATCTAAAACACTTTCAAGTGCAAAAAAAAAACAACAAAACAAAACAAAAACAAAAAAACTTCTGAGTTGCATTGACTTTTACATGAGTGAATTTTTTTCTTCTTGTGCAAATAATAAGGCAAACAAAAAAAAAATCACCATTTACCCATTAACGTGTTCTACATCTAACAAGAAAAAAACAGCATTGAGTAAAATGCCACTTAGTGACACAGACTCCCTTTTGTCTGTCACTACCTCATCCTTCAGTCAGTATCGCACAAGTACTGTGTAAGGCGGTATCAAAGAGTCCATTGTTCCCTTGGCTTGGCGCTAGACAAATATAGTACAGTTACTAAAAGATGACTTCCAGCAGGCTGTGATATTAACTAAAGAGCCTGCTTGTGACAAAGTTGTACCAAAGAGTCGGACAGGAAAAGGAACTAAAACTGTGAGGTATGTATGACTTTCTGTTCTCTTTGTTGGCAAGAATTGTTCTTCTCTGAGTATTCACACCAACAATGTTATCTCCCGTGATGAATAAAAAATAAAAGAATTTACAGTACACCTGAAACATTACATTTGGCAATACAAAAACAACAACTTACATGACACCAGAGTGCAGTTTTCCCTTTTTTGGTAAAGGGTTAAAATGCAACACATTCGAAGGGATGGAGTTCTCAAGAATCAGTTTCTAATAGTTCCTGCTAAGAACTAAAACTCTATTTGGCACTACAGAGAATGCCAATCAAGTGCATGGATGCAGAAAAACAAAGAGATAAATCATACCCCGGCCACATTTTTCCTCCCTTCATTTACTTCCATTCCTATTCAAGCCATAAAATACCAGGGTATTTTTCCTCTCTTTCACCAGCCTTCCATAGGTTTTCGTGTTTCCCCTTTGCTCTTTCCATCTGTTTCTTTTCAACAAAGACCCAGAAGGGGGGTTGGGTCCAGTTGCCAAAACTGTCAGCCAGATAAAAAGCCATCCCCTCTGCATCCTTTCACAGCCGATTCTTCCAATTAAAAAAAAACACATACAAGAAAACACAACTTCAAAAACAAGTGCAGACGCATGGCAAAGTTTTGGGGAGTGTGAGCATACTTTCCATTTGTGTGTCCATGTGTTATCTGAGGATGACATTCTTTTAAAAATCAGGGATTCGTTTGGAGAACRACAGGAAATTGAATGGACAGAGAGATACAGCACAGGAAATCCTCATAAGGAATGTGTGCTGCTCTCCTTTATCTTAAATCAGCAATGGACTGATGCATGGCAATCTCATTTTCTTCACCTGAACCTGGATTGCTTCGGTCCTCCGGGTGCTCTCTACCTTCCTCCTGTCTGCGGGAGACAGYGCCCCACCCTCATGCGCAGAGTGCCGCTTTTGTGCAGGTGCCAGAGCTGGACAAACTCCTCGGGCATGGCGTGGAACCATTTGTAGGGCAGGATGTTGTCGTAGTAATGGTGGCTGATGGGCTGCTCGTCCAGGCCCACRGAAAATGGCCAGAACCCGTAGGTGGTCACTTCCTCGCACAGCCCCAGGGCTAAGCTGACCAGAAACAGCCCCGTGGAGAGGCGCTTGGCGTGGATGCCATGGCCTTTCCAGAACTTGCCCACCGAACGCAGGAATTCGGGGTTTGCAAAGAGCATGGTGAGATTAGAGGAGGTGTCCGACAGCGCGTAATACGCTCGCAGCGATGGGTCGGTACCAGGCTTCATGGAAAACGCCGGCATGTAGATGTAGCTGGAGCCGTAGACCTTCATACTGTCTACAAAAGCTTTTCTGGACCACAGAAGGTTTTGGTATCTGCAACCAAAAGATACAAACAGGGAAGTGAAAGTTACTCTAAAACAGTGTGTTGGAACAGTTAACCCCCCCTTTCCACAGGTGTGCCTGTATGTGGTTCGACTCGGTTCAGCCTCRGCCAAATGTGTCTCCTTTTCCAGTTTCAGTCACACTTTCAGAACCACCTTGGCAGTACAGTAGTTACAAGTGGGTTAAACTGAGTATTGCGTACTTATGATTTTGGCATTAGGAAACTGCTGCCTGTGCATTAGCTGAGCCAAAGCAAACACCGTCTGCAAACTTTTCCTGGAGGGTGGTGTAGGCTGCAGGAGACAAGCAAATACAGCTTAARCTGGACAGAGCAGTCTAAAATGAGCAGCTATCTCAGAAGGTTTGGGACTAACTGACTGCCCACGGGACACACAGCTATGGAGACACACCAACACCTAAGAATAACCRAACAGACCGGAACTGAATAGGATGAAACTTGACAATGGGGAAGTGGCTTTCCTTCAGAGTTTAAAACTAGTCTCCAATCTCATCTGTGGARCTGTTTTCTTTCAGTTCCTCTAACTGTTTCACTTTTTGACAAATATAGAATTTCTTTTAATTTAATTGCTTACTGGARAGGACAACAGTTATAATAATTGTCAGTAGAAACGACATGATTTTATTTTAGGATAAAGTTCAATCTAAAATCCAAAAGTATCAATGTGTCTTGTTCACAATCYTCAGAGATAGGGTGAGAGAGCTCAGAGTAGAGCCAGTGCTCCTCCTCATCAAAAGGAGTCAGCTGGTTTGGGCAACTGATTAGGATGTCTCCCTTTAGAGGTGTTCCAGGCACGTCCCACTGGTAGGAGACCCCAGGAAAGACCCAGGACTTGTTGGAAGTGCCACTGGGGAGAGGGATTTCTGGGTTTCACTCCTAGTGTGTTGCTTCCACAACCTGACTAAGGATAACCAGCAGAAAATGGATATGTCAGTCCGTTCATTTTCTGCCGCTTATCCAGGGTTGGGTCGTGGGGGCAGCAGTCTAAGCAGAGAGACCCATACTTCCCTCTTCCCAGCCACTTGGGCCAGCTCCTCTGGGGGAATTCCAAGGCGTTCCCAGGCCAGCCAAGAGACATAGTACCTCCAAGCGTGTCCTGGGTCTTCCTCTGGGCCTCCTCCCAGTGGGATGTGTCCGGAACACCTCACCAGGGAGTCGTCCAGGATGCATCCTAACCAGATGCCCGAGCCACCTCAACTGGCTCCTCTCGACGTGGAGGAGCAGCGGCTCTACTCTGAGTCCCTCCCGGATGACTGAGCTTCTCATCCTATCTCTAAGGGAGAGCCCAGACACTCTGCGAAGGAAACTCTTTTCAGCCGCTTGTATCNTTTCTGGGTTTCACTCCTAGTGTGTTGCTTCCACAACCTGACTAAGGATAACCAGCAGAAAATGGATATGTCAGTCCGTTCATTTTCTGCCGCTTTTCCAGGGTTGGGTCGTGGGGGCAGCAGTCTATGCAGAGAGACCCATACTTCCCTCTTCCCAGCCACTTGGGCCAGCTCCTCTGGGGGAATCCCAAGGCGTTCCCAGGCCAGCCAAGAGACATAGTACCTCCAAGCGTGTCCTGGGTCTTCCTCTGGGCCTCCTCCAAGTGGGATGTGTCCGGAACACCTCACCAGGGAGTCATCCAGGATGCATCCTAACCAGATGCCCGAGCCACCTCAACTGGCTCCTCTCAACGTGGAGGAGCAGCGGCTCTACTCTGAGTCCCTCCCGGATGACTGAGCTTCTCATCCTATCTCTAAGGGAGAGCCCAGACACCCTGCGAAGGAAACTCTTTTCAGCCGCTTGTGTAAGTGATCTCGTTCTTTCGGTCACTACCCAAAGCTCATGACCATACAGTAGATGAGGGTAGGAACATAGACCGACCGGTAAACCGAGAGCTTCGCCTTCTGGCTCAGCTCTCGCTTCACCACAACAGACCAGTACAGTCCCCGCATCACTGAAGACACAGCACCAATCCGCCTGTCGATATCCCACTCCATTCTTCCCTCATTCGTGAACAAGACCCTGAGATACTTAAACTCCTTCACTTGGGGCWGGACCTCCTCCTCGACCCGGAGAAGGCACCCTTCCGGTTTCCAGCTCAAGACCATGGTCTCGGATTTGGAGGCAGTGATCTTCATCCCGGCCGCTTCACACTCAGCTGCGAACCGCTCCAGTGAGAGCTGGAGATCATGATCTGATGAAGCCAATAGGACCACATCATCCGCAAAAAGTAGAGATGTGATCCTAAGGTCACCAAAAAGGATCCCCTCAACACCTTGGCTGTGTCCAGAAATTCTGTCCATGAAAGTTATGAACAGAATCGGTGACAAAGGGCACCTTGGCGGAGTCCAACTCTCACCGGAAACGAGTCCAACTTACTACCGGCAATGCAGACCAAACTCTGGCACTGGTCGTACAGGGACCTAACAGCCCGTATCAACGGGCCTGGTACCCATACTCCCGGAGTACCCCCAACAGGAGTCCCTGAGGGACACAGTCCAACGCCTTCTCCAAATCCACAAGACAACAACATGTAGATGCTTACACTGGTAAAAAAATGCAAAACATACTCGAACAATGTGTTTTAATAGCTTCAGAGTTTTGTTTATAAATATTTTTCTGCCTTATTTAATTCCTTGTGGTTGTTTTAATCCGGACTAATGCACCTTTCGCATTCCATTTGCAATCATCTGGAAACTGTGAGCATTGATCCCATATCGCAACCCATTARCTTCTTTCATGTGGCGGTGCTTGAAACCTCAATCACACTTTGTCTGAACGCTTTCATAAGTGTCAGATGACAATGTTTTTTTTAATTATTATTATTATTATTTCAGAGTGCAAGTGTGGCTTTTTGTGAGTTAATGTCCATTACCTCTTCTCTATAATGCTGGGGTTGGCAGTGACCAGATGTGTTCTCGTTCCCACATCGTCTACGTATTCCTTTGTGAGAGGTGGAAGGTTGCATCTAAAATAAGAAATTGAACATTGAACACAACCAATCAGAGGACATAAATACAAACAAGCATAAAAAGCTTTTATGTACAAATAAATAAAAATAGGAGTCAGAATATGCGTTTAAAAGCAGAAATTCAAGAAGTCTTTATACAAATCAGGACCGATGTGCTAAAAAAGTGCAGAGTTAGCAACAGTAAGTCTAACAAATGAGTCAGATGACCTTTATTGGTGGTTACAACCACATAAWGTTAGGGCTTCTCATGACCTCAGTACAAGACAGGATGCAACAATAAGCACAGAGGTAAGCACTGCAGGAAGTCAGTGTTTCATTTTATTTTCAGTTTTGTGTAGAGCTTTAAGTATCAAACTCAGAAAGAAACAAGGAACTGGACCAAAAGCCCCATAAACAGATCAGAGATAACTCTACAGACAAAGGTAGTGCATTTAATGTGAACACAAACTGGTGTACAACAGCACACAGATGAATTAGAGCAGGAGCTACTCTGAAGTACAACTTGTTAGAATATTTGTACAAATCTTATATTGTTATCTGTCTTATTAACTTGTTTGTGCTCTCAGCTCTCATAATGTTGCAGTTCGACCAAAACCAAGGCGTGCC